CCCCAAAACCCCAAAACCCCAAAACCCCAAAACCCCGAGTACTTAAGAAATGTTTGAAACTCAAGATAATAACATTTTATTAATGAATTCACTAATAACTTCAAACATATCTGGCACTGACCTTGATATTTGGGATGACCAGCTGCAATTGCTGGATGAGGTTGACTGTTCACCACAGATGCCAAATGCTACAAGGCAGTTTTCGAATACTTTGAGGTACAACAAAGGCAGTACTCGAAAAGCTGACTTTGGACAATTCTGATCAAACTCCATACAGGCTGAAGGAACTATCAATTTGACCAAGCAAATGGAGCCTGTTAAAGGTAAACTCAAAGTTTGAAAAGATGCCGCTTTAAAATATCACAAAAAAGCGAAGTCTCAGAATTATGTGAGAAGCTCAGTTTTAGACCGGACTCCTACAGTTCCGCAAAAGATAAAGCCAGCACAATTGCGGAGAATATCGTCAAGCAATATTTTGAAGAGCTTGCAGAGACAACCAGAAGGATCTATATAAACACTAATAACTTTTAAATAATCAACTTCGTCATAACTATATTTTCTTAATCTCTTGATTCTAAGTTAACTAATTTGGAACTCTCTTTTATCATATTGCCAGAGAAGCCATGAAGCCAAGGCCAGTTTGGTTCAGAGCCATGCAGCCAATCTCTATAAATAGATTAGATCTCAGTAATCAACCTTACTATGATTTAGCGGTCTTTAGATTTGAAAAAGCAATAACTTGTTTCAGATACCTATTAAAGTTCATAATTAATAATATTCCCAGATCTTTTCAAAAGTTGGCTTATGGGAGAATGCTTAATCTTTAACAATGAATAAAGCTTTCGTGACAAGAGTGGAGGCAAGGGAATTTACATGACTCCATGAAGTATGGCCGTGAAATGATTTACCTTCATCGTGTTTACAAGTCTGATGAGAGTTTCGAACCTCTCAGTTCCGAAGTACTATTAAAATGAGTATTCTTGTTTTAGAGGAAACATTCTTAAAATTTATGCTTTATTCATGCTGAAGTCTTAGGCCTGTCCATTTCACTTCTTTATTAAATCTCTAGAAGGATATGCTAAAGCATTCCTGCTTGATAGGGTAAGTAGCCTTAAAGTCTATAGTGTTTCCAATATTTGATCCGAATTATTTATCCAATTGAAATTAGAGAATTCCCATGCAACATGAAATGCTACAAGAAAGAGACAAGGCTATTTCAACCTTTTCAATCTCATAGATAAGATATCTGACAAATTCGGAAATTTCTAACTAGAAATTGATGACATAATTATTCCCAAATTAATTTAATTATCTAGTAATTTAATAGGAGCCTTGCTTTAGCCCGTAAGAGCCTACTTGACTTGTGCTTTGACTTCCTTGATTCCCAATGACTGCATCAGAGAATTGGAGGGTCTTTAACTTAAATTGGATAAGTCAATTTCTCATCTGGTCTGAAATCCAAATTATTTAGCAAATTCATTACCACATGAAGCTTTAAAGTCCTACTCGAACAAAGATTTCGTTTGAAATATTCAGAAAGCCAAATATAATTATTGCGGAGGGTTGAGACTTTTAGCGAGATAGCCTTTTGGTATTATAAGGTGATGACTTAATAAATATTACTCAAGCCAACAAAAAAATTAGCATTTATTCCCTTTCCTTGTTAGATAAAGTTTATGCCTCATCCTATGAATCATACCTGGGTTGGAGTGTCTTAACCTAAGGCAAATAATAATAAAAGTTTTGTTGTGCTAGTTAAGAATATTATTGGAAGAACCATCGCAAAAATCAAACTCAACAAAGCCTCTGCCTGATTTGCCAATGAAGCTAAATATCTGCCTTCAGAGAGAAGGCTTTGAAGACGAGAAACAATAGTGCCCCATTTTATGTCAACCATGAAGACATATATATTTCTTAAATAACCTTCAAATTTAGTAGCACCGGCGGAGCATAAACTGAACTTTAACAGAGAGAACTTCAATTTTTTATTCTTCGTAGTCTCTGGAAGCAACCTGATGCTTGACTAACGCTCAGGGCAAACTAGCGCACTCTTTAGCTTCTCTCGCTATAATTGCAAAGATGTTCATAGGTATTACTAATTATGCAGGAAGCAGAAATTTAGCATAGTGTGAACCTGGACATTTGCATCTTCAAAACATTGATGAAGGACACTGAAGTGCTGCTGAAGCCAGTTCTATATTTTAAGGAGGTTCGGTTGGATATTCTGCTGAATAAATTCTAGCAAAAAAATGTTTGAAGTCTTTAAAATTAAGTATGGTAGGAAAAGGATGAGCATATCGACTCAAAAACTGTGAATAATGCTTCATATTTTGTGAGTAAAAACGGCTAAATATTTTCCCAAAATTTAGGGAAGGACAAGAGGGTTGAAGACTCAAATTTCTTTCCTCTCGAAGCTTCTTTCAAAATTAGGTATAATGAATGAAGTTCTGCTAATCCTTGACGATCCTCTTAACAGAAATTTAAGCTTGTTTAATAACAGGATTCTGAGCAAAAACCCTATTATTTGAGTGGAATAAAACACAATTTCGAAACACGAAAATGAAGGCACTTATTAATTCAAATCGTGATAATCGGCAAGTAGCTTTCTTCCCTATCCATTAGCTTGCTGATTCATGAAAATAGAATTTCTTTAATTGGAGCATCAATAAAACTAACTTTGAGACGGTGAGTGAAGAGGCAATTCTGACTGAGAGGCTTCAAGAATTCAAGCCAGTCTGCTGCTCTTCTCATAGAAGTTATATCTTAGTTTATATGACATAAAATCTTAGCTAGAGTTTGAAGGAATAAAATAGTCTCAAATTTACTGTAAAGAACTTTTGGTCTAAACCTTGTCGAACTAAAATTCCAGCGAGAGAAATATAACTGTTTGTCGGGGGAATTCTATCTTGCATAAGGAATATTATTTTTATACTCGAATACGCATCAATTTCTACAAGTCAGGAAGGCATCAGTAGATCTATAAAAACTAAGCCAAGTAGCATCATTGCAAATCGGATGAACCTGTTTACCTCTGAATGTTGCATTTGCTTTATGGACAAGTGTAACAGGAGTCTCTTTGTCTAGCAAAGCATACTGTATAAGGATTTCATGTAGATCTCACACCAGCAGTCAGAAAAAGCAAAGAAAGATGTGGACATTTCTAAAGTTTCAGCCCAAATATATTATTAGGGGTTTTGGGGTTTTGGGGTTTTGGGGTTTTGGGG